AATGACTCTTAAGTTTGGTCTCTTAATGTTATCCCATATTTCTTGGATGTTCTGCTCATGGTTTCTTAACAGTCTTGCTGAGCTGTCTATGTTCTTTTCCAGTTGAAATACTTTGTCTTCATTGTCTGATGTTCTATCTTCTAAGTGCTCTACTCTGTTGGTAGTATTCTCCATTGAGTTTTTAAGTTGGTTTATTGCTTCCTGCATTTCTAGGATTTCTGATTGCTTGTTTTTTATAACCTCTATCTCCCTGTATAGTTGATCCTTTGCTTCCTGGATTTGTTTGCGTAATTCGTTGTCGAAGTGATCTTTCATTGTCTGATTTTGCTGTTTAATGTCTTCCTTGATACTCCAGATCATCTGAAGCATGTATATCCTGAATTCTTTATCTGACATTCCATCTGCTGCAGCTGTTACCTCTTCTAAAGTTGCGTTGACCTGCATTGCTTGTGGTCCTTTCTTTCCTTGTCTTTTCATACTGCTTGCGTATCTTTCCTGCAGGTGCGGGCGGCGGCTCTGCTCTCTCCTTATTCCAATTGGGGTGTCGTGGCTACCACGCCGGCAGGTCACTGGGCCTGTTCTGGGAGCTGGTGGCGGCTCTGTTCTGCCCCTACTCCAATTGGGGTGACGTGTCTGTCGTACCAGCAGGCCACTGGGCCTGTCCCGCTGGTCGGTCGCAGATCTGCCCACCTTTCGGGCACGGGTGGAGGCTCTGCTTTGCCCCTACTCCAATTGGGGTGTCGTGACTACCCCGCCTGCAGGATGCTGGGTCTGTTCCTGGCAAGGGAGGCGACTCTGCTCTGTCACTACTCCAATTAGGGTGGTGTTTGTACCCCGCCGGCAGGCTTCTGGGCCTGATCCGCCGGTCTGTTGTAGGTCTGCCTACCTTGAAGGCGCGGGCGGCGGATCTGCCCTGCCCCTCCTACCCCGCCTGCGGACCCCTGGGCCTGATCTGCAGGTTGATCACTGGTCTGCTCACCCTGCGGGCACGGGTGGCGGTTCCGCTCCACCCCGACTCCAATTGGGGTCACGTGACCACCACACCGGCAGGGCCTGATCCAGGCGTGGGATAAGGATCTGCTCTGCCCCTACTCGAGTTGGGGTGACGTGTGTACCACACTGGCAGGCCACTGGGCCTGACCCGCCAGGCTGTCACAGGTCTGTTTACCTTGCAAGCTCGAAGGGCGGCTCTGCCCTGCCCCTCCTACCACGCCCATGTACTACTGGGTCGTGGGTCTGCCCACCTGGCGGGTGTGGGTGGCGGCTCCGCTCCGCCCCCTCTCCAATTGGGGTCACGCGGTCACCACGCTGGCGAGCCGCTGGGCCTGCTCCGGGGGCTGGCGGCGGCCCGGCTCCTTCCCTCTGGCTCGAGGACAAATTGAGGAGACTCGGGTGACTGAGCCTCACCCCCCTTACCAGGAGACCAACTGCTTATGTCACCGCTGGTATTGATGAAGATCTCTCCTCCACCGCTTTCTGCTGACATCAGATCTCTGCCATGTTGGTATCCTATGCGAATGGCAGCATTTCGTTCCCCTTGCCAGGCAACCCAAGCAATGGGTGAGTCCTGACCTGCCCTCAGCAGGACCCGGACCGAGACACAGTTTCCGCGGGCTCCTAGCCCCGGTCCAGGGAAGTTCCGGGAGCCGGAACTCGGCCGCTCCGTGCTCGGTGTAAGCTCCTATAAGTGTAAGCTCCAAGAAGCAGCCCCCGCGGGCTCAGTTCCGGGAGCCGGAATTCGGCCGCTTAGTGCTTGGTGTATGCTCTGATAGTAGCAGGGTCCAAGAAGCAGCCTCCGCGGGCTCCGCAGCCCTGAGCCAGGGCGGTTCCGGGACGGTTCCGGGAGCCGGAACTCGGCCGCTCTGTGCTCGGTGTAAGCTCCTATAAGTGTAAGCTCCAAGAAGCAGTCCCCGCGGGCTCAGTTCCGGGAGCTGGAATTCGGCTTCTTGGTGCTTCGTGTTTGCTCTGATATTAGCAGGGTCCAAGAAGCAGCCTCCGCAGGCTCCGCAGCCCGGAGCCAGGGCGGTTCCGGGATGGTTCCGGGAGCCGGAACTCGGCCGCCCCGCGCTCCGTGTTCACTCCGATAAGATCAGATTTTAAGAAGCCCCCAGGCGCTGAACCCTAGCAATCTGTCTGCAAGCCGCAGGCGAATTGCAGCCTGAAATTACCTGTTCTATGGCTGAATGAGCTGCGGTCAGTCAAAAACAGGTGTGGTGACGTCAGTTTACCAACATGGTGGCTGCTGGCCTCCTCTGTGGTCTGACCGGTGTGGAGAACCGAGATGGACCGCTTCCTTCCCCGTCTCGAACCCAGAATTCAGCCCTGAGTGCGGTGCTTGCGCGTCTGGCAGAAACTGCAGCGCTGTAACCCTGCGTCTCTATCCCAGCGCGCCTTGCAGACTCTAGCCGCGGGGCGATTTGCTTAATAAGCAGTGTTACCCTCCATGCGACAAACCTCTCGCGTTTGAGTCCCCGTAGCCGATCCTCATGCGATGGAAATCCTTCCTCCAGGTTCCGGCGCACCCCACTATTGCTGGAAATTCCTAACAAGATATCCTTTAGCCGTCCTGACTTGTCATACTCCCACACAGTGAAGCAGCACACGGGGGTAATGCACTCCCCTCGCCGCCATCTTCCCTCCTAGTTCTATTTTTTAAAAAATATTTTTTTTTAGTTGTAGATGAACATAGCACCTCCATTTATTTATTTATTTATTTGATGTGGTGCTGAGGATCAAACCCTGTTCCTCACATGTGCTAGGCAAGCTCTCTACCACTGAGTCACAAACCCAGCCCCTCATTCTATTATTAATACTTATGAGTGGCATTCCATTTATTTATTTTTTTTTGAACTTTTTATTGTAAAAAATTCAAACATATATATATAAAGATTGAGAGAATTGTACAGCGGTCACTTTAAATTCTCAACACCTAAATTGAAATACTTTGGCACACTTGCCTTATCTGTATATGGTCCTGGCTGTGCTGTATTTTTGCTAACCTCTTTGAAAATATGTTGAAGACACCACAACACTTTTCTCCTGATGACCTCAAACACATCCTCTAAAAAATGTCTCAAAAATACATCTCCAATGTAACCAATTCTTGGTAATTTTCTAATATCATTAATATCTATTTTCAAATGTTTCCAGTTCTTTTTCAAATAAGAATTCACACATTGCATGTGTTTGTTTTGTTTCTTTAATGTAAAAATTATTTATTAGTAGGTAACATATTCCCTGTAAAACTTCGCAGTTTAAAATGACACAAATGTATCGTCTCACTCATCCCCTTGAGGGTCAGGAAGCTTGGAATGACTTCTGGCACAGGGTCTTGTGGAGGGTTCAGTCAAGCTGCTGGTCATCTGGGTCGTAGTCATCTGAGAGGCTTGATGAAGGCTAGAAGGTCCAGTTCAGTGATGGCGCACCCACATGACTACAGGCAGCAAGCCCCAGTTCCTTACATGTGGCCCTCCACAGGGCTGCGGAATGTCTTTGTAACATGATGTGAGAGCCATGAGAACAAACCAGGAGGCTTTTATAATTATCTGATGTCTTTTATGTCCTAATTTTAAAGACACAACTCATTACTTTTGCCATATTATCTTTAGTAGTTCAGCCCACACTAATGGGATGAGAAATTTAGGGTCACCTTTTGAAGAGAAAAGTTTCGAAGAACTTGTAGACATATTTTAAAAGCATGCTCAGCGCGGTGGCGCACACCTGTAATCATAGCGGCTCAGGAGGCTGAGGCAGGAGAATCGTGAGTTCAAAGCCAGCCTCAGCAAAAGCGGGGCATTAAGCAATGCAGTGAGAACCTGTCTCTAAATAAAATACAAAACAGGGCTGGGGATGTGACTCAGTGGTTGAATGCCCCTGAATTCAATCCCCAGTACCCCCCCCCCCCCAAAAAAAAAAGGGCTGGGGATGTGGCTCAGTGATAAGCACCCCTGGGTTCAATCCCTGGTACCAAAATAAATAAAAGCACCACAGTTGTATTGCCATGTTTTGTTTAAATTGTATCCTTTTAATCTTCTGATATTTCATCTCTGGTTCTGGGAATGGTGAGGGGCATATATGATTTGGGAAATGTTTACAATGGCCTTAGAATCTTAGAGTTGATTATAAAAATAGGGGAAGAGGGATCCACACTGCTTTAGTAAACATCTTAGCTAATTTTTAAGGATGAGATAACAATATGCTACCTCCCTGGCGTTACATAGAGTCATCGTCCCACACATTCGAAGGCATGAAGTGAAAAGAGAAGGATTCTCAACAGATGGCTGAGGGAATTCCAAGAGATCTTTGGATTGCACAGATTTACAGGGGCATCTTGCTCCATGTTGGCACTTTTCATTATATCAAGTGAATTATTTTCAGTTGGTCTATGTATGCATCAATAAGTAATTCATCCTCAAATAAACCATGTCTGAATCCATCTATCCTCCCCCCCCCCCCCCCCCGCTAGTCAGGAATACCAGGTCTCTCTCATTGACTGAGGAATTCTGAAAAGAGCCCTGTTTTAAGTGTTTCAGGGCCTGTTGCAGTCTGCCCTTTATGTGGTGACAAATTACCTGAAATTCTCAGTCTCACACTGTTTGAAATTTATGTTTGGAGACGAGTGGGAATGGTGGAGGAGCTTGAGAGCTTAATTTACTTGTTAAGCCACTTTGAGGCTCACACTTAACATGGGAGCCTGTTTTCCTATGGACTTCAAACACTGGCCTCATATGGATTGAATGCATGGGTCTGCCATTTGCCCAAAACTTTTTGTCCCTTAGAGGGTCATGTAACTCCACAGTGTTTCTAGTATTAGCCTTCTTTTCTGTTCTCACTCCAAAAGTCACCCCAAGTATTCCAGGGATTATTCTGGATGTAATGCAGCAGTGACCACACATACCACCAGAGGGCACTTTTGACTGGGGTTGGTTTAAAATCCTTTCAAAAGCCTTTCTGTGAGAAAGGAAGTGAGCTAATTTGCACTATTGTCTTCTTCCTTTCAGGCCTGGCAGTCATGCATTCCCAGAGCACCAATCAGCTTGATGTGGGGAACAACCCTCGTGTAGGCACCAAGCGCTACATGGCCCCTGAAGTTCTAGATGAAACCATCCAGGTGGATTGCTTTGATTCTTACAAGAGGGTCGATATTTGGGCCTTTGGACTTGTTTTGTGGGAAGTGGCCAGGCGGATGGTGAGCAATGGTAGGTATCTGATATGATATTGTCCTTGTCCCCCTTCTCTTGACATTGATACTGTTGAAAGGGGAAGTGGGGAGACAGAGGCCTACCTGGTTCCTTGAATCATACTAGTGAAACTCTGGGAGTGTATATCTGACTTGTGGCTGGTAGGTGAACTGACTGCCACAGCATCGTGTTTGAAGCATAAGAGGAAATGACAGCTGAGAAACAGTTTTTCTGGAGGAGACTAATTTCCTTGGGTTGTGTTTGGGTTGGTCCATATTTCATTTCTTCCTATTTGACTTTCTCTTTACCTTCCTTTCCTCTTTGTTCTTCTCATAAGGTAGGTTTAACTTGAGGAGAATGCTCTCAAGTGAGCCTTAGGGTGAATTCTTCTGTTTTAGACATTTTCACTTCTTATGATTGGCTTATTGAGAAAAGGGTTCAGTTTTCACACTTCGAAGCCATTCCTTTCTGAATAATTCCAGTTTCAATTCAGGGAGCCCTCAATAGGTGGCTTATGTTGATCTGTTTATAAGTAGTTTAATGAAATGGTGTTGTTTAGCAGTTAAGGGCACACACAGGTCAACAATGAGTTGACCTGTATCCCTATGGTGAGCTCTGGCTCTTATCTTTTATGTACCCAAATCAATCTCAAATACATATTTAGACTTTAAGGTACTTTGTGCTTGGAAAGGATTAAATCTTTTTAAAAATTGGGCATGCCCCAACAACACACAAAGTTGTGTTTTTTGTAGCACAATCTCTTGAATAAGCTTGATGAACTTCTTCATAACTTCACCACTTGAAGTCTTATTTCACACAGCATGTATCTGAAATTATCCCAGAAAAACAAAAGAAAATGTCATATATTTAGATTTCTTTTAATTTCCAATGACACTTTACATTTTATTCTCCTGTGATCCATTATGATCCTGGATTTAAAGTATTTGAGAAAAAAAAAAATGCATGAAGCCTCTAACATCTATGCTCCATCAACCTTCCATGGATACTTTCTTCTAAGAATTGAGATTTTGGGGGTAATCATCATTTTCATGACTACACAGTCAGACTAGGAGATTATGTGGTGGAAATGGAATTGGGAAATTTAATATAGTTTTAGTGTACAATAATTAAAATTGGCATGCCTTCACGATAGCTTTTTGTGTGATAGCAGAGTGTATCTGCTTTGAACAAACCCTCTGAGAGTACTAAAACAAGTGTTTCAGAGTAAACATACAAGGATCATAACTTGACTACTCTTTTAAAGTATATATATATATATATATATATTTTTTTTATGAAGTCACGAACATTTTCTTGGTAATTCTTTCTCAATTGCTGGGAGCCACTGCCTTGGCAGTTTGTGCCATTGAAGCGCCTTGAGAATTGTTTGCAACAGAGGGATTGTTTTGCTGATTTATAAAGTTCTGAACTTTGCCTGAAATTGCACATCAGCTTCATTTCTCGCCCCACCCCCCAATCATTCTTGAGAACCTTGGAACTGGAAAAAAAAAAAAAAAGTGTGACTCTGAGTAGTTTATCTTACAGAGACTGTAGAGAAGGATTGGTCTCAGAATAAACTGTGTGATGGGGAACTTCCCCAAATGAAGAGGAAGCTGGCATCCCACGGCCAGCACAGTAGCACTTCCAGCTGTGGGCGTGCGGCGCAGAGCCAAGCAGGCTTGCTTGGCAGAGACTTGGGATTCGGCTTTGTAAGAACTCATGTTGCAAACCCGTTCCCTGTGTCATAGGCATAAACCCAAATGGCTTTTAAAGATCAGCTGTGATTAATAGTAGTCAGTTTGAAGTTAGAGTCATCCATTTAAAATTTAGCTCAACAAATGTTAGCTTGCTTGCTAGATCCTGTGTTCAACATTATTTTTGGAAAACACAGTTGTGGATGGTGGAAGAGAGAATGTTTTGGTTGCTTTTGATTTATTGATCTCCTTTTTCGCATCATTTAGCTGCTAGCTATTTCCTAAAACTTTGTGGGTTGAACTTCTGTGATATGGTTTGATTTTTAGGGGGGGGTAAGGGTATCTTATTTCTCATGTAAATCAGCTATTGTCCTTTGGCAATGACTAATTTGATATTTTTCCCTTTTCCTTCTGTGGTCCTTTCTCTTCTAAGAACATTCACGTGGACACCCCCACCCCAACCCCTACCCCCCAGCTACAGATCAGTTTATCTAAACTCAGGCTTAATAGTTTCCCATGTTACTTGAAAACCTACTTTACTAAAATTAGTACTTTAATGACTACTCCCCTAAAATGAAAAGTGAATAGAAAGAAAAACAAGAAAATTTTTGTTTTCAGATTTTATTCACGTTTCTTTGTACTTCTTTGTGCACCCTTTAAATTCAGTTGTAATCATATAAATTCAAATCTATATCATCTTTTTCATTTGTGTGTGTGGTTTTCACATTGTCATACGTCCCTGTACTTGTTTTAAATGCTCACATAATATTTTATTAATTTATCCATTTCCATATTGTTAGAGTACATCCTGTCTCCCCATTTGGGGCCTATAGTAGACATTTCTGTGCACATCACTTTTTCATTTGGAGAATTCATTCCTAATCTGAAAAGAAGCAGATTTAATAGGTCAAAGAGTATGGACATTTTTATGATTTGGAACACATTGCCAAATTGCTTTCCCTTAGAGCAGTTCTAATTTACAATATCCTTCTCACCCCAGGGTGTGATGTACCTGTTTCACTTTCTTACCAGCTTTAGGTACTATCATTAAAGGAATATAGATTTTGAAATTATTGTATATAAAATGTACCTCATTTAAATATGTGAATGTCTTACATTAAGAAGGTTATTATAATTATACATCCTTTGAGTTTCAGAGTCCATTATAAAAATTGATGACCAGATAGTTCTCTTGGAGCAATATGATCCTCAAGTGAACTATGAGCATAAAAATATGTAGTATTTTGTATTTTTATTGGAATTGTACATTTATTTTCTACTAATAATAAACCTCATGCTGTTTCTGTACAGGAAATGAGAGTTAAGTCCATTTTCACATGTGAACATTTCTCAATAGTGTCTTTTGGAATTTACTTGTGGTGTCAGTTTGACACTGAATTTGGAATTGGTAGGAAAGAAAACCGTTTTCTCGCTTCTCCTGTGTGAATATGTGCATGAACTTCAGGTAGGGTTTTGCTTAGATCAGTAGTTTTGAAACTGGAGCGTGCACCACAATCACGTACAGAGCTTGTCGAGATGCACAGTGCTGGGCCCCAGCCCCCAGAACTTTAGTAGATCTAAGGTCAGAAGATTTGATGCCACCATTCCTTTCTGCATATACGCAACTCTGGATATAAAACTTTTTTGAGAAGGCGATGTACCCTTATTGCGCAGGCACATACCAGAAGAAGACAGGACAAATCTGTTTCTCTGGTGTTTGGTGGTTATATGGCTTATCGAGATGGTTTTTTTCTGTCTTCTGTTGCTCTGCGTCTCTGGAGATGTCACTACACACAGGAGACTGCTGGACTGTGCTCTCCAGAGCTGGGCAGTGCTTTTCCTGGGCCCACTGGAGGCAGCAAAAGGGAATCAGTAACACTCTGGCCCCTGAGATCATGCTTTCTGACCCAGTCCCTTTGATTAATTTCAACACTTGAAAAATATAGGTAACATCCACTTAAAAAGGTGATGATGATTAAATGAGGTCACAGAGGTGAAGCACTTAGTGTGTGTGTGTGGCTTAGAGAGAGTGCTTTGGTCCTCATATTTTGGTTACTTTGCAAAATGGCAAGTTTCTAGGAGCTTGCAGACCTCAGACACCCTTTTCTCCTCCTCACTGTGCTAGCACTTGGCCTGGACATGACCTTCGCTTCCCCTTTTCCCTGCCCATGGGAAGCTTCTGTGGAACACTGTTTCACTGGCTTTGATTATTTTGTGATGAAATCCAGCATTCACATGTGTCAAAAACTATTTGGGTCTTAGAGAAAAACCCTGGCTGGCCAAGCTGCACCTCTTCGGGGATGGGGACTAGAAAACTCTTGTTAGAATAAGCTTATGTTTGGCACACTTATTTTGGAAAAACCTCTTCTAATTAATCTTGAGCCTGCCAGGGAACCGCATGTGCTTCTGTTCCTAAGCACAATGGGCTTGTGTATGGAAACCATGACAACTCTCACTTCTTCAGCAAATTAATATCCAACATGTTTCATGACTTTAATTGACTACTTTAGCGTATATTACGGTTTGAACAAATAGCTGAATCATACTAGGGAAATTTTTTTTCACATTCATAGTAATTTCAGTTTTTTTGCTCACTTTTTGTTTTTACCTTTTAGGTAAGCAACTAGGGTCAGGCATATGGAGGTGAGGTGGGAGGAAGGATTTTTTTCCCCCATCAAATTTCTGAATTCCTTGTCCATGATTTAGAGATCCATAATAGAGGTGGGCAATCAGTTGACCTCATTCCAAAATAACCTGAAGGCAGCAGAACTTGATTGGATGCTGTTTACTACCCAGTACTCTCTTCCCGACTGGCTCTTGAGCAGTCCTTCCCCAAGACAAAACTTCAGCATCTTAAACCCCATAAAAGCCCTACCATGCAGTGAATGGCACCTTCTTAGGAGGGATTTATAGCTACCAAATGTCTGGAGCCCGGTGGCACTTCTGTCTCGCTAGGTTTGGGGGTGTGTAAAATCCAACTCAGGAAATGCCAGGCAGCTTTCTTAGGCATTTTTGTCCACCCCTGTGGTAATTCAGTCCATTGCTGCTTAAATATTGTTAGTTAAACCTGACTTCTTAGTAACTGATAAATCATCGACTTTTGCTGTATTGCATCTATGGGAATCTTAGCTATAGAAATTAATTAATTAATTTAAAAATTAATTAGTTTTGTAATTTTAGTATGGGTTCCTGAGGAGGCAGTAAGTTTTGACTTTAGAAAGTATATGGGGGGGATGTGGCTCAAGCGGTAGCGTGCTCGCCTGGCATGCGCAGGATGCTGGGTTCGATCCTCAGCACCACATAAAAATAAAATAAAGATGTTGT